AAGCAGTATCAATACCACCACCACACCTTAACGTCACCCCTACTGAAAACCGTAGCAGTCCCAAACCACCATTATTACCACCATAAGCAACATCAAAACCACCACACACCCTCATTCTCGCCACTGCTGAAAACCACATCAACACGAAAAATCACTCGCCGATCTAAAGATCTTCGAGCAAGTAATAATACCTCTGACGTTTAGATCTATAGGTTTCAAATCGTCAATGTGCCGTGTACCACCACAAGAAATTGCGATGATGTCGCCTCATATAAGCTAAAATGGGGTGTAATCAACAGCATCTGTGTGGTAAGCACGAGCGTCGCTTTAGCAGATCTGCAGTGGAGGTGTCTCGCCGACAAAGCTCCAATAGCATCTACAATCGGAACCTCTGCGCATTTACAGCTTTGTGGTGGTGTTTGCACGAGATTTTCATTCGAAGTATCACGTTGGAGCTTAGCTTATGGTGGTTTGTCTAGCGCCGAAGCTATACATAGCGGCGGATCGACGGCAGAGTGCGGGGAGAAGAAAGAGGAGAGAGTTAAGATGGAGAGAGATTTAGGTTTTTAAAATTGTATTGTTGAAAATAAAAGAGAGAAAAATAAAATGTTATTGTAAATGGAAAGTCCATTAAAGTTTATTGGTGAATGACATTTGTACCCCTGTAACCCTAGAAATTATTATCATTGTATCCTTAATTCTTACCTATAAATATAGGGTTTTGGTCTTCAATAATACACACAAAAAGTTTATTGAGTTTTCTCGATTCTCTTTAAGTTTTCTCTATTCTCTTTTCCTCTCATTTTATAACAGTTATCAGCACGAAACTCTTAGAAGATTCATGATGGATGGTCAAGACAGTTGCTTAATTGATAGTATAACTACACCTACTATTCTTCAAGACAAAAAATATTTTTTGAACTTAATATCAGCTGAAAATAATGTTAACACGATATCGGGTGCATCGAATATCATTGAAGGCTTCGGAAGAGCTTGTATTATTTTACCAAATAATACAAAATTATATATTGACGATGCACTTTATTCTAGCAAATCCGAAAGAAATTTGTTTAGTTTTAAAGATATTCGCTACAATGAATATCACATTGAGACGATGCAAGAAAATAATGTTAAATATCTTTGCATCACTTCTTTTGTATCTGACAAGAAGCAGATAAAAGAAAAATTTCATGTACTCCCGTCTGGCATGTATTTTACAAATAGTCGAATCATATAATGTTACGAATCAGAAGTTCGTTGATTCAAAAAATTTTATACTTTGACATGATCGACTTGTACATCCAAGAGCCATAATGATGCGTCAAATAATAAACAACTCACATGGACATCCTTTAAAAAATCAGAAGATTTTTTTATCTAATGATTATCCATGTGTAGTTTGTTTGCAAGGCAAGTTAGTCATTAAACATTCAACTACAAAGGTCAATATTGAATCTCCAACTTTCTTGAAAAGAATACATGGAGATATATGTGGGCCAATACACCCACCACGTGAACCATTTCGTTACTTTATGGTATTAATTGATTCTTCTACAAGATGGTCACATGTTTGCCTATTTTCAACTAGGAATGTAGCATTTGCTAAACTACTTATTCAAATCATAAAATTACGAGCACAATTCCCCAATTACTCAATCAAAACTATTCGTCTTGACAATGCTGGTGAATTTAGATCACAAGCATTTGATGATTATTGTATGTCAATTGGGATTGATATTGAACATTCAGTTGCACATTTTCATACACAAAATGGTTTAGCGGAATCGTTTATTAAACGTCTATAACTTATTACTAGACCATTACTTATAAAAACAAAACTCCCAAATTCTGTTTGAGGTCAGGCCATATTACATATTGCATCATTGGTTCATATAAGACCAACTGTCTATCATCAATATTCACCTTTGCAACTTGCATTTGGTCATAAACCCGACATTTCTCACCTACGAGTTTTTAGTTGTGCTGTCCAAGTTCCTATTTCACCTTCACAACGTACTAAAATGGGTCTCCAACGAAAACTTGGGATTTATGTGGGTTTTGATTCACCATCTATTATTAGATATCTTGAACCTTTAACGAGTGACTTATTTACTGCACGTTTTGCAGATTGTCATTTTGATGAAATGACTTTCCCAACTTTGGGAGGAGAAAAACTACATCCTGAAAAACAAGATAGAATTTCTTCGAATGAGACAACTCTATCTCACTTTGATCCCCGCAGCAATCAATGTGAACAAGAGGTTGAAAAAATCATTCATTTGCAAAGAGTTGCAATTCAACTACCTGATGTAGTTGTTGACACGAGAAAAGTGACAAAGTCAGATATTCCAACAGAAAATATTTCCGCAAAATTAACGTCCTTGCAGGACAATCTGCTGCGGCAAATGAATCTCAAATACTCCAGAAGCGTGGTCGACCAGTTGGTTCAAAAGACTCTGTACCTCGAAAAAGAAGGGTACAGGAGAACCGACCAAAAACTTCAGAAGAAATCACATTAGAAAAGATTGATCAATCAAATATTGAATGTAAAATTCCTGAAGAACCAGAGGTGTTCGAAAATAATGAGATCTCAATAAATTATATGATATCTCATAAATTATGGGAACGGAATAATATTGTTATAGACAATATTTTTCGCCTTTAACATGGCTCTTGATATTATGCAAAATGAGGATCCTAAATCACAGTCTGTTAATGACTGTCGAAATAGAAATGATTGGCCAAAATGGAATGAAGTTATACAGGCATAATTGAATTCTTTGGAGAAACGAAAAGTGTTTGGACTAGTAGTTCGAACACCTGAAAATGTAATCCATGTTGGATGCAAATGAGTTTTGTACGAAAGAGAGATGAGAATAATGAAATTACAAAATACAAAGATCGACTAGTAGCTCCAGGTTTCTCCCAAAGACCGGGAATTGATTATGAGGAAACATATCCTCCCGTAATGGATACCATCACTTTTAGGTTCTTAATTAGTTTGACCGTATCACAAGGGCTCGATATGCGCCTTATGGATGTAGTAACTGCCTACCTATATGGTTCACTTGACAGTGACATATATATGAAAGTCCCTGAATGATTTAAGGTGCAAGGAATAAATGATACATGTCTGTGAACTATGTTCTCAATTAAATTGCAAAAATCATTATATGGATTGAAACAATCCAGACGCATGTGGTATAATTGCCTTACCGAATATTTGTTGAAAGATGGTTATAAAAATGATGATATCTGCCCATGTGCTTTCATAAAGAAAACAAATATTGGATTTACAATTGTGGCAGTTTATGTTGATGATTTAAATTTAATTGGAACTCTTGAAGAACTCAACAAAACTGCAGATTATTTGAAAAATGAATTTGAGATGAAAGATTTGGGGAAAACCAAATTTTGTCTTGGATTACAAATTGAACATTTTCCAGAGGGATTATTTGTTTATCAATCTACTTATACAGAAAAAGTCTTGAAACGCTTTTATATGGATAATGCACATCCATTGCCATCACCTATGGTTGTTCGATCACTTGATGTGAAAAAAGATCCATTTTGTCCATTTGAAGATGGAGAAAAGATTCTTGATCCTGAAGTACCAGACTTTAGTGCAATTGGAACATTAACTTATCTTGCAAATTGCACTCGACCTCACATAACTTTTTCTGTAAATCTCCTTGCAAGATATAGCTCTACACCTACTCAAAAGCATTGGAATGGTGTTAAACATATTTTTCGTTACCTAAAAGGTACTATTGATATGGGATGTTTTATTCTCAAAAGTCAGGATCTGCTTTAGTGGGATATGTAGATGCAGGTTATTTCTCCTATCCACATAAAGCTAAATCACAAACAGGATATGTGTTTACATGTGGAGGAACAGCTATATCATGGAGATCTGTGAAGCAATCCTTAACAGCAATATCCTCAAATCATTCTGAGATTATTGTAATCCATGAAGCAGTGCGAGAATGTATATGGTTGAGGAATATGACCTATCATATCCAATCATCATGTGGATTGATTTCAACAAAAGATAGTACAACAATTTTGTTTGAAGATAATGCAGCTTGTATCGCACAACTCAATGGAGGCTATATCAAAGGCGACAGGACGAAACATATTTCTCCAAAATTCTTTCATACACATGAATTTCAGAAGAATGGTTACATTGATATTCAACAAATTTGCTCAAGTGACAATGTGGCTTATCTATTCACAAAAGCGCTGCCAACATCTACATTCAAGAAATTAGTTCATGAGATTGAAATGCGTCGACTCAAAGATTTTCAGTGATCAATATTAGGAGAGTAGCTGTACTCTTTTTCCTTCGCAGGTTTTGTCCCATTGGATTTTCCTAACAAGGTTTTAATGATGCAGCATTTAATTTTAATACTCCAAAATAACTGTACTCTTTTTCTTTCGTTTGATTTTTTTTCCCATTGGATTTTTATCAAACAAGGTTTTAACGAGACAAATATTTTGTAATATGTCATTCAAGGGGGAGTGTTGTAAATAAAAAGTCCATTCAAGTTTATTGGTGAATGACATTTGTACCCCTTAGCCCTAGAAATTATTACTATTGTATCCCTAATTCTTACCTATAAATATAGGGTTTTGATTTTCAATAATACACACAAAAAATTTATTGAATTTTCTCTATTCTCTTTGAGTTTTTTTTATTTTCTTTTCCTTCCATTTTATAATAAATGTAATAGAATAAAAATTTTTGGGGGGCAAACCGGGGCTAAATTTGAGAGATAGAGAAGAATCCTAAACCCTAGATACCCTCACGCGCAGATCATGTGACAATACCAAATATCCGAGAGACACCGATAGCGCGCCGCAATCGCAAACCCACGAGAATTACCCTTGCTCCACCTCTACCCTCATCTTTACCGTCGATCACTCTCCACGTCAGCTATCCGCGTCAATTCTCAATTCAACGGTCCAGATCAGCTTACATTCTCCCCTCTCAGAAAACACACCTCTCCTGTTCTACCCTTTCCTTTCCCCCTTTATTCCTTCACAAAAAATTTCCTAATTTTCAAAAAATAAAAAATATCTGTAGTAGATTTTCTGGTTTTAGCTCAAGGAAATATGGTGGTGTTTGAGGACGAGGAAAAAATTGAAGAGGAAATTGAGGAGGAAGTGGATGGTGAAGATGACAATGAGGACGAAGACGAAGACGGCAGTGATGAGGACGAAGAGGAGAACGTAGAACCAGATAGTGGTGGACTGGGACCGGCTCAGCCGGTGTACGGTGACGACGACGACGACGACGATGAGGCTGGAGAAAACGAAGAAGATGACAACGACGATGACGACGACGACGATGATGAAGACGAAGACGACGACGATGATGACGAGGATGGAGAAGAAGGCGAAGAGGTAACAATACTCTGTATTTCTACATGTAGATGTACTTTACGATGAATTTTTCTGCGTTTTGACTACGTATTCGTTTGATATTTTTGGCGTTTTTAATGTATTTTTGGTTCTTTTTGCATTATTTTATTTAAAAACTGATAGATCTGGAGTCTCTGCAGAACCTTTTCTTGTGTACACACGAACTACGCAATGTCCGAATTTTCATTTGTTTAAAGTTTTCACTTTTTTGTTTATTTTATTTTTTATTTTCCGTATGTTTTGTTTATTTCGCATAATTTTCATTGAAGCTAGTAGATCTGGAGTTTTCGCAGAATTTTTTGGGCTTTTTTGGGGAGTAGAAATTGTCGTTATTGCGCTTTTAGCTTTATCGATTTACTTGGTCAAAATTTATTTATAATTTTTTCCTATGTTTTCCACAGTAGTATTTGATTGTTACTGTAAATGTTTTGTTAAAATTAGTTCAGATCTGAGGTTTTATTGCCTTTCTAGCTTGATTAATGCTATATACCTGTTCATCTCCAGTCTAAGCAGTGATCCTCTATTATTCCATGCACTGGAGATACTATAATTATTCTTTTAGCTTTGCTTTCTAGCAGGGCCTGTTGATGGCATGCCTGGTAATATAGTGGAACTTATTTTTGATTTGTTTTGAATTTCCTTCTAGATCTGTTGCCTATTTTATGAAATTTTGGAAATTTTTAGTATAAAACTGCCCTGTTTGGTTCCAGATCTGTCCCTTGGGACTATTACTGCTCATTCTACAATATTTGTATATTTTTTGACCTGCATAGCTCATATTCTCATTTACACTTGCATTCTATGAAACTTTAGGAAAAGTTCAAATCTGTTCTAAAATCTTCCAAGAAACCTGTTGGCTCTCGGTCGAGTCTTCTGTTTCCTTAGTCCCAACATTATGATATCTAGTTTCAGTGTTTTCATTTTACTCTTCTTGTGTTTGTTTTGGTGAGGTTAACAAGGAGGTTTGAGTTCTCTATCAGATTAATAGAGTCTGCCTGTTTCCTTTCAGGGGCATGTGTGTGCTAATATCGATAACATGCACTGACATGGATACATGTTTTTGACATGACACATGTCGAATACACTAACATACGATTTTTCAGAAAAGTGACACATTGATTAAATTCTTTAAAATTCTTCATTTTTATAATATAAAATTATATTATACTTTTATTTTTGGTAAATTTTTTTAAATATGAGTATTTATTTGTTAATTACTAATAACTTAAAGTTAAAAATATATAATATTTCAGATAAAAAAGAAAAATGAATATGTAGCGTCGGTATTTGACATGAACACGCTACATTAGTTGAAATGTCTGTTTTACAGAGCTTGAACATATAATATTTCTGATAAAAAAGAAAAATGAATATGTAGAGTATCAGTATCTGACATAAACATGGTACATTAGTTGAAATATCCGCTTTACAGAGCTTGAACATAATGGGGCATTGGCTTTTATTGATATTTTTAACAAGATGAACTGCATGGTTTTTTGTTGAGTTGTTAACGTGTGCGCATGAATCATGATTCACTTCTACATGAAAATCTAGTGCACTAAAAGGGGGGAATCATCTGAGTCAATACCAGTTCATTTCTTTCATCATATACCTTGAAATATGGTCGTATACTAAGACTAAAATGCATTAATGCAGGAGGATCTGGGCACGGAATTCCTAGTCAGACCAGTTGGTCGTGCTGAGGATGAGGAAGATGCTAGTGATTTCGAACCCCAAGAGAATGGCGAAGATTTTGAGGAGGATGATGAAGAAGATGATGATGGAAAAGTTGAGGCCCCACCAAAGAGAAAACGAGCTGGAGAAGACAACTCTGATGATAGTGATGGTGGAGAGGACGATGAGAGACCATCCAAGCGGTAGATTAACGGGTCAACCCATGTTGCATAGGTCAACTACTATCGACTATTTTGTTAATCCATCGCTAGATCTACTTGATGAGGATGGGATGTCTGGGACTATCTGGCAATGTCCTTTTCCTTGATGTATTATCTTGGCGCAATATTATTAGGATGAATTTTCTTGGAAATGCTTAATATGAGTACTTAGGACAAACTGCTTAATTATGGTGTTTAGGACTGTTATCGAAATATTTTCATTAGGTTTATAAAATTTGTACTTAGGACAAACTGCTTAATTATGGTGTTTAGGACTGTTTTTGAAATATTTTCAATAGGTTTATAAAGTTTGTAGTTTACCTGCAAGTTGTCTCTTTCAGTATATTGTCTATTTTTTTGTTTGTCTTTTGTTGGATATTTCATGGTATAATTGTACAGGTATCAGATGGATGATTACTTCCCATTTATCTATTCACGTGGGGTAAATTTCAGTTATGGTCATTGAACTTTCAATGAAATCTCTATTGGTCACTGAAATATCTATTGGTCGTTGCGGAATTGTTTAGCTCGCATCATATCGTAACTATATGCTTTGTAACTTTTAAGTGATGTGGTAGGAAAAAAAAATGGTCAAACTGAAAGTCAATATTTATGTTTTTAAATTTAGAGGGTAAAATGAACACTTTTATAGCCCTCGTTTGACCCTCATTTATGAGAAATGAAAATTGGTGAAATAGTATTTTTTTGAAAAAATGAGTGGTTGAAAAAGAAGAAAAAGTTTTCGATTTATATGTAATATTATTTTATGAAAAATTGTGTAGTTAAAAATAGGAGAAAGAAAAATAAAATGTAATGAAATTAAAATTAACGGGGGCCAAACGGGGTCATAACATGTATGCATAAGAAAAATAAAATGTAATGAAATTAAAATTAACGGGGGCCAAATGGGGTCATAACGTGTATGCATTGGTAAATTGGGATAACCCTTAATGATTATATCAAAGATTTATTGGATTGTCGGTGTCAACTAGGAACTTGAGTAAAAATGTGGTTACCGAGCTAAAATATTGCTGAAACTTGAATGCAATTTACTAAATCATTTAGGCCAAGTGCCTGATACTAAATCAGAATCAAGCTTGCCCTCTAAAAAAGAAAGTGTTGAAGTTTATGTAGAGCAATAAGTTGCTTGGTGTGTATATATATATATATATATATATATATACCTTCAAACCAAAATCTCAATTTCTCATCTTCTTTCACATTCGAATGAACGAAAATTTCTCATCTTTTCAAACACAAATAATCAGGTGATTGGAAATATTTTTAGGCGAATATAATCATGTGATTCCAAATAATCGAAATATTTTTATTCGGCTTCAATTTCAATCCAGTGAAAGTTGCTGGAACGTTGTAGTTAAAGAATTCAATGATTGGAGATGTCTATATTTCACTGTGAGACAATCATAAAGTTATTCTTTCATTTTATTCACAAACTGTTTATTATTATATAGGTTGAATAGAAAGATTATTCAAATAAGATTACTGTCGATCTGAAATATTGAATTCATCTTGTGCCATAAAAATTCATTATTTTAGAAAAGGTTTTTGTATTTCATAAAATCTGAGCCTCACTGTGACCTATCGACTGTGTGTTTTTCTATAGGTAACCAGGTTCTATTTAACATTAACGGCTTGTGATTAGTCTGTGTAAGCTGTTATTTTTGGGGACCATGTCAGTATAAGCTGATATTGTTTGTGATCAGTTCTGTGTTATCTATGATGATTTGTTACCAATTCTATCTTTATTGTTACTGTTTGTAATCAGGTTTATCTTAACTCTAACTATATGTAACCAAATTTGTGTTAACAATAAGATGTGTAACTAAATGTCTGTTAATTGTGAACATTTTTAACAAAACATGTTTATATTTAAAGTTTGTGACCATTTATATGTTAATTGTGATCTTCTGTGATTAAGTCTGTGTTAACTGTGATCAATTATGATCAAGTCTTTTTTCATTGTGATTGTTTATGACCAAATTTGTCTTAATTGTAACTGTATATGAAATGTCTATTAACGATGACATGTTTAACCAAATATTTATTAATAGTGAAAGTTTGTGACAAAACCTATTTACATTTAAATTTTATGACCATTTATATGTTATTTGTGATCCTCTGTGATCAAGTCTATGTTTACTATAATCAATTGTGACTAATAATTTATTGAATGTGACTTGTTGTCTAATTATGATCTGTTATTACAAATATATTTTCAAGAATTCTGTCTAACAAGATATTAAGCTAAATTAAATAGCAATAATAAAAAAAATTTGTCATCTATATTAACGTAACATTTATCATTCGTAGTATTAAAAAGGTAAAAATATTCATCTCCATGTACGTAATAATCAATATTCGTCTACACAAACATCTACAACCAAATCTGAAATGAAAAAATCATTTTCAAATATTCAGTTATAAATAAATCTATCATTTGACTTTGTTTTTCCTCTATGTCCAGTCCGCCTCATTTGCCTGTGATTGAACATCAATGATGCAATTTCAAGCCTCTCTTTAGTGGCATCAAATGATATGAAGTGTTAGACATGTGACTATGATATAGAGCTTGTTGTAATTTTTTTAAGAAAATTATTTGCTTTCTTTGATCAAATAGTTCAAATCCAACACAAGTGTTAGAAATATGACTGCGACCTTAATCACAAACATAAACATGCAACTGTAACCTAAAAATTGAGTGATTGTGACTAGTTCTGTTGTGATTGTAACATTTTCTACAAAATAACTTAGAAAGTATGACCTATCCAGCACTTATATTTTGGTAAAAACCAGGTAATAATATAACAAAAGCAAGTCACATTTTTTTAGATGAAGTCACATATTATTGATCTCAGTTCACATTTCAAACAAAGATACCAAAATCAGGTAACAAAATCCCATTTATATGATGCACGACATACCCATACTCTACATTTCACATTGTAGGGCATTTACACATAAAACAGAACGTCGTATAGGCACTACTGAATCCTCACTAATGAAGTCAGCATGATAACAAGTAGGATTGTTAATGGATTGAATTTTGATCCAAATTCGATGAAATTAATGAGAGATGAATTTAGAATCTCAATCCGTAACTCGATTGAGATTCGAATCCGATAATCCGTCAACTAAGTGAATCAAATATGAATATAGGTCAATCTTATTTGATAACAACCTGTTCCGATTTATTAGAATAACATATTATATTTTTTATATTATCGCATAATTTATGACACAGTTTTTTCTATTTTGAAAATTGTATTACTTTACACGTAATTTTTAAATAATAAATAGAATAATATAATACTATAATATTTTTAATTGAAATTTTGAAGAGATTTAATTTTTTTTAATAATTAAAATAAGATAAAACTAATAATTAATTTATTGATTAGATTTACTATTACAATTTGTTTTATAACATAACAAACTAACAATTAATATGTAATTTACTTTGTTCAAATTGATATTGTTTATAATTAAAATGTTATTGATGCTATGACTTTTAATGAAAATAATAAAGTATACACTTAAAATTAACAAATAATGATAATTAGTATCCCACATTGAAATATCACTAAATAATTGGAAGAAAAGAATCATTTAAAAAGTTAGTATCCTATATTGGTATATCACTAAAACATTCTAAGAGGAGTCTCCTTTGAATAGGAGTTAAAATGAACATCACTTGGATTAAAAAAATTGATGTGAACCTTCTAATATAATAAGTGAGCCCATCAAGATAGTTCAAATACTTTTTAAAATAAATAAATAATTAAAATCTTGTTGAGGCTATGATTTTTAATGAAAAAAATAATTTTTTTTTTCTAATTTTTTCATTTTCGAATCAGGTTATCGGATTCAATATCCAATAACATAGATAATTGAATTTGGATTTAACATTCAAATATTCGTCGGATTATTTGATCGGATCGGATGATTATTCTTAACGAATTGGAGCAAATCCGATCCATTGACAGCCATAATAATAACAAGTGAGCAAAACCTAGACACTCTGCAAACCGATTAGAAGTCGAGAAAAACATGGGAACCTTATTACAAAGCATTGCTAGTAGGTCACAAAGGTAATCTGTGAAGGGACACGACATCTGGCGCTAACATTATTCTATTAAAGGCCGCCTCTAAATTAGAATGAACTAGCCATAGGTAATGACACAAACTCATCAAATCCAATATCTCCACCTCCACCTCCACCTCCACCTCCACCTCCACCAAACCACAACCACCAACAATACCACAACATCCCGCAACCACGATCTCCACCTTACTAAAACCACCGACGATCGTCAGATTTGTAGCCATCCGATGACCACCAGCGCTCACACCCGCAGCACCACCCTTCATTGTATCTTCTGTCTTCCATCTTCCAACAATCACAAGCAGAGTACGTCTGTAGATTCTGATTTCACCTTCTTTAATTCGAATAGATCGCCCCCAATGTCACCGTCAATCAACATAGCCTTCACCTTCATAAACTACAAATTTACGATTGGGTTACAATAAAATCATCAACGTAGAAGTTGAGCAAGATAGGAAATGTAGAGAGAGAAAGAAGTTGAGGAAGAAAGGGACTGTAGAGAGAGTAATTAGGGGTCAGTTCATTATCACTTGATTTGTGAAATTAAAACTACACCGCCTTAATTTTGATATGTAGAGTTTATACGTAGAATTTAGGTTAATTTCCCAATTTTAATCCTTCACACCCCAACCTTGAACCTTGACCTTGCTACCTATACGATTGATTAAATGTACCCATATATTATTCAGTACAGATATACATGACCTCGACATAACCCAGTATTATTTCAAGGAAACTTTGCAGCGAAGGTTTCAAACCTTTAAATTTGCTACAAACTACACCTTAACTTTTTATTTTTGCAGATACAAACCTTTCACTTACATTGCAGGCGAAGTCCATTAAACAGAATTCATCCATTAATCATTTAGTCAACCTAAAATTAGAAGTTTAACTCAAATTGACAAAATAAGTGAGGGGTAAAATGGTGGTCCTTTTTTCAAGCAAAAACACGAGTTTGGACGACCTCTTGCCTCCATTTCCGACCGGCGAAGGGCAAGTTGGGAGCTGGGAAGAATACGAATCTTGCAAGAGGTGCCTTCTTGATTTCTATGATAAAACTTTAAATTAGTTAAATAAAAAAGAACTTTTTATCTTCCCCAAACCCACACTCTTTCTGCAAGACCAAAAATAGAAAATCTAGTCATCAGCGACCACAGCCCCCCTACCGAAATTAAGGAGTAATCTTATAAATTGGATTTTACTTCAGATATTCATCAAAGAATAGAAAAAGTGGAAGAGACGAAGCAAGCACAAGAGCGGATGCTTGATTAATTAGTCAATGGATTATTCTATTTGTACAAAATGGTTGACAAAATGGCCAAGTGGTGGCCCCCTATTGGAGTGGCGGCCATTTTGTATACCACATTGTACTTCTAGCACTTCTTTAGAGGGTGTTTAATAGGCATTTTTATGTAAAAATGCATTTTAGAATAATAAAATTAATGTGAAATGTGTAGTTAAAAAATAAGGAAATTTTTTTTATTTACGTGTAATATTATTTTAATAAAGAATGTGTGATTGAAAAGAAGAGAGAGAAAAATGCAATTTGAAAAAAATGGCTACCAAACGGGGGCTTAGTCAATTGCCCCTACCTAGAAAAGGGGAGCGTCTTTGCTAAAAAAAGCCTTTGAAATAGTTGTTACACCAAAAGAAGATAATGGCTAAAAATTGCTAGCATTACCCATTAAGTGGACGAGTTTGTTCTAAAAAAAAACGTTGTAGACAAAGATGCCCAAGAAATTTTTGAATTAAAATCTAATAATGGTGAAACAGCACTCAAACACAACTTAGAAGACTTCAAGAGGATACGATTGTCTGTTTGAATTTCGAGTTCCCCACTGGTAGTTTCTTCCTGACCATTGGAAATATAAAGATTCAAGATCCAGATTATGGAAGTGGTGAAACCAAAAATTTATTTCTAGATGGTAATGAATTATTTCTTCAACTGTTCATTGTGCTACGCTCGATTGAGCTAGAAACGAAAATAAGGGGTGAGACCAACCATTGTGCTACGATCGATCGAGCTAGAAACGAAAGGGTTGAGACAAACATTTTAGAATGAAGGTGCAACTGAATTCTATTTGGAAGATTATTTGGAATTCTATTTGAAGTCGACATAAGAATTCTAGTTGAAGTCCATTTGTGAATTCTAGATAGAATTTAATTTGAGAGTTCTGTTGAAAGTTTGAAATTTATTTTGAACTTGAAGAAGACATGAAAGTCCTTGCAATATGAGAGGAAAAAATAGTGCAAGGAAAAGGAAACAACAAACAGGCACTCGCTATGCGACTATGCGTTTGCCTCTCGCTCGAGCACCTAGAACACGAGCACTGGCGCTCGCTTTTCGCTAGATGGCCGCTTGACAGTCGCAAGAATGACGATTTTATCCGAATTTTGAACAATTCTAGTTCTTGGCAAATTTTTTAATCTTATTTTATCTTAAACACTCCATTATTGTATAGACATAATTATAGTCAAACTCCACATCATGTTAGGCTCTTCTTGCATTATATATATGATGACTAAAACGCTAGAAAAATCTATCATTATATTCTACACAATAATTTATAATCCTCCATTACTGATATTAATAAATTCTCATATTCTACCAATGGTATAATTTTACCACGTAAATATTGTGTTCTTATTTGATTTTTGGATTATCATATTATTCTTGTTCCTTTATTTGCTAACAAGCAATATCAGTTCGATTCATAATTCTTAACAAAACAAATGATGACGATGTAGAAGATTGGTGTGAATTACCTAAAATAGGCAATCGTGATTTTTTCCCGAAATTGAATGATGATTATGTCAAGGAAAATCGTGTTTCTAGCCATTTGAATTAGTTATGCTACATGTACAATCCCGATTGATAACCACGCACATGGGAGGGAGCCACCTCCTATGAGTGCATTGTTATCTGTGGTTATCAACTCCAATTGTACAACTAGAATAATTACGTTTGAATAGTGCATTCATCAAATCTGATGTCGTCAAACTCATACGAGAGGCAATCGAAAAGATCCTTCTTCGAAATATTCAAGACAACTCCTTTGATACTAAGTTGGTTACAAGTGACTTTAGTCCAAACCAGGAGATCTCATAAAAGATTAATTGTGGATTTTCTCTAAGGGAGTGGAGGTCCACGATGACTGAATTTTTGGTTTTTGCTTTTAGGAAAATGGTTGGGGGTTTGGAAAAGATGAACATTTTTTATTTAATTGTTTTAAAATTTTCATTATAAAAAATTTAAAATCATTTTCTCACTTATTTATCAATCAAACTTCTAATTTTAGGGTTGAAAAACGAACTATGTCCAATGGACTCCGTCTACAGTCAAAGTAAAAGGTTTGCAACTGTCATCGTAAAAATAAAAGGATAAGGGTAGTCTGTAGCAAATTAAAAGATTTGGGACCTCTGCTGCAATTTCCCTTATTTCAAAGGTAAAAGCCGAGCTCAAAAATTCTACTCTGTCTATCACCCTCTACGCATACAAAAATTTGCTGTAGCAATCCGAATTTTATATTAACGGAGCACTCGTCTTGCTCCAGAAAAGGTTTTCAATTGTGCTAAATATATGTTCTTTAAGCACCTCAAGATTTAATTTTGAGATGCCATTTTCTTATTTCACTAGTTTATTCATTTTCCCTCCGTTATTTTGTTTTCTTTTTGTAAATTGAATGCGTACAGTGTCTGAATAATTGTTGAATTTTTCATATATTGTGTTTTGTTCCTTTTGAAACATGTATTTGAAAGAGGGTTGTTCTTTACTGTTGAAAGTACACAAGCCCTCAATCCCTTTTGTCCTCAACACCAACCCAATATTGAAGTCTATTCCCCAAAATGATCAAAATGAACAAAACCCAGTAATTATTGAAGAATCTGAAGTCTTGAAGCGATTAAAACACGAAAATGATATTGGATTAGCACTGGAATATTTTAAGTCCATAGCCAACTTTAAATCTTTCAAGCATACCCCTTCAACTTACCATATGATGATAGAAAAACTTGGGCATAAAGGGGAGATGGATGCTGTGCAGTACCTTTTGCAGCAAATGAAGTTGGAGGGGATTAGTGTTTCAGAAGATATATTTACTAGTGTGATAAGGTCTTATCAACTAGTGAAAACGGCTGAACAAGCACTGAAAACGTTCTATAGGATACAAGAATTCGGGTGTAAACCGACTGTTAGAATTTATAATTTTTTGTTGGATGCATTGCTTAGTGAGAATAGGTTTCTTATGATCAATCCTGTTTATGGAAACATGAAGAAGGATGGATTGGAGCCGAATGTGTATACATACAATATTCTTTTGAAGGCTTTGTGTAAGAATAATAGTTTGGATGGCGCTCGTAAGTTGCTTGTGGAAATGTCAAACAAGGGATGTGAACCTGATAAAGTGAGCTATACAACTATTATATCATTTTTGTGTAAGCATGGTGAGGTGAAAGAGGCAAGGGATTTGGTTTTGAAGTTTATACCAACCGTATCTGTCTATAATGCATTGATAAATGGATATTGTAAGGATGTAAAGGTGAAGGAAACGTTTGGGTTGTTGGATGAGATGGTGGAAAAGAGAGTTTATCCTAATGTCATCACGTACACTACCATTCTGAATGCTTTGACTGATTCAGGTAACATCCAGCACTCTCTTGCCATTTTGGCCAAAATGTTTGTGAGAGGATGTAGTCCCAATATTCACACATTCACTTCCTTGATAAAGGGGCTTTGCTTGAAAGGAAGATTGCTCGAAGCTCTCGATGTGCGGGATCGAATGATCAAAGAGGGAATTTTCCCGAATGAAGTCACGTATAACACGTTAATTCACGGCTTCTGCTTGGTTGGTAATATGGATGATGCATTACTAATGCTTAATCAAATGGAGAGAAATGGCTGCAATCCAAATATACGAACCTATAGTATCCTCATTGATGGCTTTGCAAAATCAGGTAATTTGGTTGGTGCATCTGAAATATGGAACAAGATGATATCTCTTGGTTGTCAACCAAACGTTGTCGTATACACATGCATGGTAGATGTATTATGTAGAAACTTCATGTTCAACCAAGCGTATGGTCTTGTTCAGAATATGGTGACACAAAATTGTCCACCAAATACAGTTACATTTAATACATTTATCAAAGGTCTATGTGATCATGATAGAGTGGACTGGGCTATGGAGTTGTTTGATGAAATGGAAACATACGGGTGTATGCCCAATGTTACCACTTATAATGAGTTGTTGAATGGTCTGTACAAAGTTAACAATGTTAAGCTTGCATTTAAGCTTGTTCAGGACATGGAAGAAAGAGGAGTCGAGTTTAACTTGGTGACTTACAATACTATTATACATGGTATGTGTTCTGCCGGTATGCTTGAGGAGACACTGAAGCTCGTTGGAAAGATGACAGTCAGGGGTTTAAAGTTCGATGCTTTGACATTCAATATACTAATCAATGCTTACTCTAAGATTGGTAAGGTAGAATTTGCCATTCAACTTCTGGAGTTGATGAGGAAGGTTGGCTGGCATCCAGATATAATTGCATACACTAGTCTAATAAGTGGGGTTAGTGAACGAATTGGACTAGAAGCAGCCATTATTCATCTTTCTAAAATGATAGATGAAGGAATCTCCCCTGGCATTTCCATGTGGAACTTTTTAGTCCGGTATTTGGTCAGCAAGATTGGGTATGGTGGAGCAGTGGATTATATGAATAGTATATTGGCTAGTAAATCTGAATCGACCAGTTGAAATTCTGAACTACAGATCTGGCCCAAGAATCTGTGCTTGGCAATATTGTAGTCAATGAGATACCTGTACTGATATATATGATGCAAATTTGAATAGGATCTCGTCTGTGGACGTCAAAAGTGCGTTCACCCACTGGTTTTTCTTATTTTGTTGCTTGATTGCTGATTTTAGATATTTTATTGAACAAACCTGTGCCTCACGGACTTGAATTGTTCGGGTTGTTTATTTTACAGATGGAGCATAATCGCTCAGGACAGGGAAGCTGAGATATTCTGAGGAAGTTAAGGATCATTTGCCAAAAAGCTCCTGTCCATTCTATTCGTTGTTCCAGGCTAACTGCATTCCATTGTTTCTTGATGCTCTTGTACGATGTTGTAAATCTCGAAGGAAAAAGGGTGAGAAAAACTCATTATTTGCTTCCTGTGGTTTTCTTGCGGAGTCCAGCACTGACAAACCGTGCCCATGATGAGATCTTCACCGCCCCTGTCCGTCCTGATAATGAATTAACAATATTTTAAGATAACTCGAAGTTAGAGAGGTGCTCTTTTACATTAGCATGTTGATGACTTTTGTTGTTAGATTTGTCTAACGGCGATTTTCTTTTTCTTTTCGATTTTTCCAGTGGAGTTTTTAAAATGAAGGGAAGAATCTGCTTCCTGGGTAAAGACTTCTGTAATGATTGAATTACTTTGATTCCCGAAATTGTTGATTAAATGATGTAAAGGCAGTATCCAACACCGATTTTATATCGCATTTTATGGGAACAACATCAAAGCATTTTGAAATTGTGTCTGATGATAGTCTGTCTGATATGTTAAACAGAGATATGTTCTGATTTTCACACCACATACCTGATTTATCGAAAAGAAAGCAGTTGCCACAAACGAGTATTGAACAAAAAGAGAGACACAGTAAATCTTGAATATATGGTTAATGAATTATGGCTCTGGGGCCTTGATAATAACAGTGTTGAAAAACAAAATAAATTGTACCTGTTTCTACAGCCCAACGATATCTGGAGAAATCATAATTCCCGTAAGCCACCACCTTGATAAACTAACGCGAATACAAATCAAAATCGAATTTGAATCTTTCCAGTAGTGTATGAGTATTTTGTCATGGCAGCTGGCCTCTAAATCAACGTTCAATCTGGATTCTTCAGAAAATGTAAACAAGGTCATACGCGAATCTTTTCCATGTCAAGGTGTTTCACGCGAATAGTCGTTAACAATTAAAAAGGGATCAGACGATTATGTAAAAAACAAATTTCTTGAGACAAAGTTCCAAAAAGGGGTGTTTTGTTGGCGATAATTTACAATTGGAACTAAACAGAATGCCTCCAAGGGGTGCAAGCACACGAGTACTGAAAGAAATGTTTAAGTTTAAACTAGGAAATTGAAATTACATATTCTCTGTTTGAGAGTGTTTGATTCGAGGTCCTTTTCTCTATGCCTTCTCTTCCTTTTATATTCCCTTGATGATTTTTTCGTGACAAACCGCTTGGAAACTGCTTGATTGCTCTATAACTACCCACTTTCTTTATGGTGGCTAACTTGTCGTGGAACTGCCGTCTCTAACTGCTGCCACTACTCTTTGTCGTTCAACCGCCTTCAACTGGGTTCCTTGAATCGTGGAATGTGATAAGGTTACTCAATAACTGCTTCAATAACTGTATTTCTGGATAACCATAACATTTTATGTTTGCTAAGATCCTGGGTGATTCGAAGGTATGGGCGAGAATAGGGTCATCGCTGTGGGCAATTGTAAAGCACTTCATTCGCTCAGATTTTGGGTGTCTTGCAAGCTTGGGCGATTATGTTACTGTGTTCGTGGGCTTCCACTGCATTCATTAATAACTCTGTCTGGCCCTTTATCCTGAATTCCTTAATTGGGCTTCATTTCTTGGGCTATTTGATTTGGGAATTCCTCAATTAGGCTTCATTTCTTGAGCTATTCGATTTGGACTGCACTTTTAGTGTGTCAACAATTACCCCCTATATGGCAGAGTTAATACTAATTATTAATTTTTGCCATATTTATTTTGTGTTTTCCCGCAACATTTGAAATTCCCAAAAATTTCAATCATTATTTCCTTCCATAGCCTGAAAAGGTGCGACGTTGCAAACCCTTGTAAATCCCAAAGACACGCCATTTCATCGCACCACTAAATCACGCCTCATTACTTCGCGCTTCTTTCTTGCAATATTACTGCTCATCTTCTTGCTTCCCTGCTACGTTTCTCAAGCAAACTTTAACAAAACTGTATTTCGTTCCTAATGACGGCTCCACGAACACAATTTGATGACTCTTTTAGCTTCGAAGATTTCCAAAAAATCCTTACTCGGCCATATGTAAATCCGATGAGTTCTATCTGGGTCCATCATTCAACAATGTCGAAGCCGTCGAACAAGTGGCGGTGGGCTAGCTGTTCCCTTGCACTCAAGGCCCTCCGTTCTTAGACTCTTTGCCGCTGAGGCCGATTCACGAAAAAGGTATTCGCAGTTGGCCTAAATTTGATGTTATTTTCCGCAGATGGCATGCTCGCCTTGTGGGCCATGATCCTACCAAAACAATTTTTGATCGTGCTAGGATTTCTGATTTATTAGAAATCGCTCTTCAACCCCCAATTTTTGACCCAGTGCTTTTTCCTATTACTTTAAGTTTTTGGTCTTTTGAATATAATACCTTTGTTTTCCCTCTTGGTCCCATGTTTATTACTTTAAGGGATGTTGGGGCCCTAGTAAATTTTCCACCTTTGAGCGATACCATTTTTCCTGGTATTTTGATTTTCGGTGTCGCTCCGAAATTTGGAAACTCACTGAGTCCTACTCAAGCCTGCAAACCTCTTATAATCACTCAGCTTTGTAAATATATTCTTTGCGTGCCAAGTATGAAACATTCCATAAGCTACTTACCCATAGCGCATGAATTGACGGGTGGTAGGCTTTTGAATTTGTGTTCCTTCTTTTTGGCTACCCTTTATAGAGGCATGGCTTCTCTTCAATTTCAACTGAAGAATGGTGCATCTCTCACTGGCAGTGGGCCTCTTTGGTTCACTCAACTGTGGTTGAGAGCATATTTTCCACCACTTGGTACTCCATCCATTTCCAGTCATTCTGCTAGCTGCTATGGGCTAGCCATTGATCTACTGACCCCTGTACATATGTCTAGTAAGGACATTTTTTCATTCTTTTATTCCTTAAATTAGATTCCTTCTTTCTTTCCTTTTTCTACTCATTTGACTCCAGATTATGTGCAAATTCCATCCACCCTGGACAGTGCGAGCGCCTCTCTGCTCGTTTGGGTTCAGTTTTTGACTAGAAGGGAATTGTTCCATGACATTTTAACTAGAATCAATGCCAAAACTGGGGTTGAAATATATACTCCTCAATTTTTTGCTCGCCAACTTGGTTTTGGCCAAATTTGGCCTGTTCTTCCTTGTTACTCTAAAAATTTGACAGACCGCTTTCACACTATTAATAGGGCAAAGGCACAAGCTATAGATGCTCGCAACCTTCCTTTGACGAGCAAGTTTTCATTAGCCCCCTTCAATTCTAGCCGTGCAATCCATTCCCTTTTTGAACAACTCTAGCCATCAGTGAAGCACAGAATGTTTGCAACTGATGCCAATCGTGCTTTCCATTCACTGGATCAACCAAACACTTCTTGCACTTCTCCTATTTTGCTCACCCCTGTGTCCTCTAGAAATCCTTCTTCCCCTGCTCGTGCTAAACAATCTATTCGTCCATCTACTTCTCTACCTGCCAAGGCTACTACAGCTAAGAGTGCCTTAAACTGCAAACGGCCAACTTCAGCATCTCCCGTTTTGTAGGATGATGATGATGACACTCCTCTCATCGTTAGGAGAAAGGTAATTGAATTCTGTTTATTCACAAACATACATTTCTATGTGCTAATGGTTTACTTGAAACCTTTATATGTGCTAATGGTTTACTTGAATTTCTCAGAAATGTTCAGCCTCTCCTTTGAGGGCTTTGATATTGGCAGCTCCTGCTCCATCATCCTTTGCTGAAGGTGCTTCGTCCAAATCAGCTAATGAAGGGACTATATTTAAAGAGAAACCTTCATCACAACCAATGGAAGAACCACCTTCTTCCCAGGGCGCTGACCCCCAAACATCGAACCAGAAGGTAATACATTTTTTTTGGTGTTTTACCTTTGCTTGTGCTATTGGTTTTTGATTTATTGTTTCTTGAATTCTACAGAGGCTCCCATGTGTCTGCCCGTTGTGGCAGAGTCTTCTCGCCCAGATAAGGGAAAGTCTCCACAGGTGGTGGAGCCAACTGGTGATATGCCACTTCCCAAGATTGCTGATGAGGTAACCTTTCGCTTTACTTTCATTTTCGCTTCGTTTATTGTAGTGAAAGCCCTTAATGTTGGCATTTTTCTTTGCAGGGTGCTGATGACATTGTGCGTTCCATCCAGAACTTCTTCACTTCCTGGGGGCAAGTCAAAACGTCTCGCCCTACTTCAACCGGTCGTCCTTCTGCTTATTCAGAGGAAGATATGAAGTTCCTCAAGCAATCATTATTTGAGTATGTGTCTTTTATGGACATGGACATCGGTCAGGCTAGTGCTGCTAAACATAAGGATAAACTTGAGCTGTTGAGTGCGAAGTTGGCGCAAGCACTGACACTTCCGTCGCTCAATATTTCTGCTGATTTTAAAGCGACGTTGAAGGTTGTCCACTCTGACATCCTCTCCTTGCTGGCCAAAAATGTTGAACTGAAAGCCAGGAGTACTCAATATCTTCGCGCTGCATCTAAAAGAGAGTCTTTACTTCTAGAGATTAACAAAGCCGAGGACGAATTGAAAGAAATCTCTTCCGAAGTCATGGTTGAAGACTCCTTGATGACCAGTTTGGCTGCAGAGATGAAGGAGCTTCAAGCAAGGATGGACGACTGTAAGGCAAGAATGACTACCAAAAAGCGTAATGTTTCCCAAGGAATTGAGCAAACCAAGTCTTTGGTCGAGCAGTACAAAAAGCTGGAGGTTGATGACGATTTTATAGTTGAATTAAATGTCACTTCTTCTCAGCAGAGCAAGGATTGGGGGAGACTTAGAGAAAGAATTCAATCGGCTTGGGGTGAATTGTAATTAAGACATCTAATGCCTTAAATTTTCCTTTTATAACTTCGTACTAACTGCCATTGCTAATTTGAATGTAACAACAACCATTGTCATTAATGAAAGATTATTCTGACTACTTGCGTGCTAATTGATGTTGTCCTTAATCGTTAACCCCCCAAGCATTTAACTGCTTTATGCTAAGATTCATGTATATTTTCTCTTGGTATTTCTGTCTCTTTTCCCAAGACTTTGGGCTACTTGACTCCAATTACTAGGCACGAGTATGGCCATTCATATTCTGTCTCTTCACTTTCAAGCCCCTATAAATGCACGTATATTTCACACTTTTCATTTTCATTTCCACTTTTCTTCAAAAAACTAATTTGCTGCCATCATTTGGCATTTCAACAATCGATCCAAAATTTTCGTCTTCCATAGAAATTGATCATTTGATCCGCTCATTTGGCTATCTGTTTTGATATCACCTTTGGTATGGGAGATATAGGAAATATTCTTTGGCCAGCGAAGTTCTTACCATCGTCTTCATGTTCTTTACAAAGAGTTCAATGATGGAAGGCAATTTTTTAGGATGCCTGTCAAGCAACCTTACTTGCTGAGAATGCTTCTCAGTCTCATTACCCGTTATTGTAGCAATGCGATTAGGCAGGCGATATGAGGGTGCTTGTCTTCCCTTTT